CTGCGGGGCCACGCCGCTGGCCGCCCTCGCCCTCTTGGTGCTGGGGGCTCCCCTGGGTAAGAGGATGGAGAGCGAGGCGGTGGGGGCGGGGGCAATGGGGCGGAGGAAGGGAGGTCGACCCGCGGGGCCTCGGCGCAGGACTCCCCGGAGCCCTCGGGCTGCTGCGCGCCCCAGAAAGCTGTGGGGTCCGCAGGGGGAGGGGACAGAGAGGGCCGGGAGGCTGGGCCGGGCGCGAAGTCAGCTCCAGGCAGAGACCTCTGGGGCTCTGGGTTGAGAGCCGCCCGGTGGAGAGAAGGAGAACCCTCCATCTCTGGGATCCAGCGGGCTGGGGACCAGCGGGGGATATGGGGCTCAGGGCAGCCGGAGATGAACTGCCCAGTGGCCACGGGGCCCCCCCACCCTGCCTGCAGCGCTGGCGGGCGAGGACTGCCTGTGGTACCTGGACCGGAACGGCTCCTGGCATCCGGGCTTCAACTGCGAGTTCTTCACCTTCTGCTGCGGGACCTGCTACCAGCGCTACTGCTGCAGGGACCTGACCTTGCTCATCACTGAGCGGCAGCAGAAGCACTGCTTGGCTTTCAGGTGGGCGCCTGCCCCCACTCCAGCCCTTCCTCTGTCCTCTCCAGGAGCCTCCCTCCTTCCTGGCCTCCTGCCTCCTCCGCACTGTCCACCCCTGCGTTCCTAGCCAAGCAGGGCCGTGGGACTCCAGCCCCGCGGACTCCAGCCCCGCGCTCACCTAGATGCTTAGTGCTAGCCTGGGAGTTGCAGAGCAGGCCGTTAGTTACCAAGGCAGGCTGGCCCCAGGCTGTTTCCGGAGTCTTTGGAGAGCCTGGAGCCCTCCCAAGACCTTCTCTGGTCCTGTCAGGTCCGGGGAGGGAGGGTACTGCAGTGTAGCTTTGTGGGAGAAGCTCTGGCAAGAAGGCAGAAGCTACAAGAAGTGGACTTGCTTCCCAAGTCCACTTCTTGTAGCTGTGTGATCTTGAGGTAGACACTTGCCCTCTCTGGGTCATTGTTTCCTCTTCATAAAAGGAGAGAGGTTGTTTGAAATGGTTTTCAAACTTCTTTTCATATGAAACCACAAATATATGCAACAGATGTAAGGAGATGGAGTGAAGTGGGATGGGGAAAACGGCTCTGGGTGTTTTTAGGGCTCCCGTCAGTGTTAACACATTGTAAATCTCATCAGCGAAGTTGTAGGTGTAAAAGCGGGGGTGGGGTGGGGGTGGCAAGCTAGACATCCCAGCATGCCTCACACTAGCCAGCCAGGCAGCAGAGCCTTCTGGGAAGTGGAGGTCCCCTAAGATCTCCTCCACAGGGACTGGCCAGAGCCCCACAAGGAAGCTCAAAGCTCAGCACGCCGTGGCCCACTCTGGCCAGGAGTCGGAGCCACACTGAGGACTCCCTCCTGAGTGCCGGACGGTGAGAGGACCTGTTCTTTGTCTAAAGTCCCAAGACCATAGCAGGCATCGCCTCGGCCGTGATCCTCTTTGTTGCCGTGGTCGCCACCACCATCTGCTGCTTCCTCTGTTCCTGCTGCTACCTGTACCGCCGGCGCCAGCAGCTGCAGAGTCCTTTCGAAGGTATGCACGGTACTGGGCCTAGAGGGGCTGGGATGCACCCCTGAGGGCACCAGCATTCAGGGCCCGGGGACATCTATAGTCACATTTGACTCCATACACACCGACTATAGCCCCACCCAGGAACAGTCTCATAAGCCCACAAGTATATTAGCATGTGCCAGGGGCACGTGGGGACATTGGGCTGTGTGCACCTGTCCGAGCCTGTGCACCTGCCTGGGTGGATGTGCACGGAGGATGGTCTGTCCACTGTGGTGAGTGTGCACGACTCTCGTAAGCACACTGGGTCCGTGGTGGGAACGCTGACTGGGTGTGCTCTGGCGTACCATGGAGTGTGTCTGCATGTGACTGTACATATGCCCAGGTCTGGCAGCTTGGCAACAGCAATGCCAGATGGGAAATAAGCGAAGGAGGGAAGGGCTGGGGAGGACCCCTTGGTGGCAGCTCTGCTGGTGTGGGTTCCCTTCCTGTCCTCGTGGCCACACTGACCCTCATCCTGTCTCCAGGCCCTGGACTGCCCCCTCCTCGCCCAGGCGGGACATCCCCAGGGTGTGCTCTCTGGCCCCTGAGGTCTCCCAAACCTGTGAGGGGAGCAAACCTGCTAAACATGGAGGGAGCAGCTGGAGCTCCCTGCTCACCGTGCCAGGTGGGGTCTGGAGGCAGAGGCCACAGGGGGCCAGCCTGGAACTGCCTGGGGGCCAGCCAGGGCTCACCTGGGTCCCTGTACTGCAGGAGGTGGTTTCCCATGGCAGGCAGAGCTCAGTGCTGACCCTTGTCTCCACCTAGGCCAGGAGATTCCAATGACAGGCATCCCAGTGCAGCCGATGTACCCGTATCCCCAGGACCCCAAAGCTGGCCCTGCACCCCCACAGCCGGGCTTCATGTACCCACCCAGTGGTCCTGCTCCCCAGTATCCACTCTACCCAGCTGGGCCCCCGATCTACAACCCTGCAGGTAAGGAAATGTCTGCCGCCCTTTCCCCGCCCCGGCTCAGGGGCTCGGGGACCTCCCCTGTGCTTCTTGTCCTCCCAGATCCTTACCCCCAGTCTCCTTCCACCTCCAGCTGGAAACCTCCAGACCAGACCTTCCCCACAAGTCCTGCATGCCTCAGGAGTGTGGGTTCCCTTCCTGTCCTCCTGGCCACACTGACCCTCATCCTGTCTCCTTGGCTTTCAGCTCCTCCCCCCTATATGCCACCGCAGCCCTCCTACCCAGGAGCCTGAGGGACCAGCCGTGTCTCTGCTGCCCCTTCGATGAAGCCAGCTCTGGGAGATGTCCCCCTCCTGTACCTGCATCTGGCCCTGGGGGCGGGCAGGGATCCTCCAGTCACCAGACCCTGGACCACACCAAGCTCTGGGCCTTGCTGGGGACAGAGCCCCAGGGAAGTGGAACAGGAGCTGAACCGGAACTAGACCAGAAACAAGGGTGGGTGGGGCGGGCTTGGGATTGGTGGGCGATTTTTACTGGGGCAAGGGAGGGAGATGACAGCTTGGGTCCCAGCCCCTGCTTTCAGATGGCCCCTCTGCTCCTAGGGCCTCCAGGGGCCTCTCCTGCTTGCCCACTCTGGGCTGGGATTGGGGCAGGGGCAGGGCTTGGTCAGCAGCTGGCAGGAACCCTCCTCTCTGGATCCCACTGGCCAGGGCTCTGGCCTGCTGGATTAAAGCTGTCAAGATGTAACTCACGTCCGTCGGTGGTATCATTGGGTGCATCCATGCCTTCCAGTGGCAGTGCCTTCAGCCGGGCCCAGACTGCCACCCACATGGCCGAGCAGGGAGGGCCAGGACCAGCACAGGAGCACAGCCCCGCCCTCACCCCCCCAGAGGAGAGCCCCACCAGGCAGCCCCTGCTGAGAGGGTGCTTGGTGCCATCCCTGAGAGTCCCTGCCAGGGCTTGGCACCGCCAGCTGTGCAGAGGCACCGCCCTCATTCAGCTACACACAGTGTAGGGCCCCCTTGGGCCTTCTGTGAGCCCAGTGGCCTTAGCCATCAAGTGGGGTGCATACCTGCTGGGGCTGTGAGGAGGCTGCAGTGTTGTATAAATGAAACTCAATTCTGTCCTTCCTTCCAGATCAGAGGGGGTTGGAGGTGGTGCTGCCCGGGCCCCACACTGGTGCATCCCAATGAGCCAGGCAGTGAGGGGGTGCCACCTTATCTCCCCCTCTCCCTACAAACACCCCCTAGAAGAGGTGGTTCAGAAGGGCAGCAGGTACCCCCCACCCAGAGCTGCTGGGGTGCTTTTCTTTGCCCTGTTCCCTGGGGTCCTGGTCTCCATGCCTCGGACTTGTCTGGTCCCAGATCCAGGGAAGGACGTTCTATACTTTTTAATTCAAATGGGAGAAGTGACAGCTCAGTTTGGCAGAGCCATGCCCCTTCTCCCAGGATCCACAGGCTCAGCTGCTCCCTATCTTCAGGGTCTCAGCCCCAGGCAGCCTCAGCTGGCTCTCCTGCCTGCTCCCCACTGTCTGTCCCTGCAACTTTTCTCTCCTGTGGCCCAGCTAGGTCCAGAATACGGCCATTGTGCAGACCACGCTGCTAGGCCCCCACAGAACTGCGGGGGGGTCTGTCCACACAGCCTGAACTGCAGCTGCTCCTGCAGTGGTGGGGCAGGGGCAGGCACCCCCCTAGGACAGCTTCGCCTGCAGAGTCACGGCTCCTCCCTTCCCAGTGAATCCCTACGGCTGCCCCTGGGGCCTGTGCTGATGGGGGACAGGGCTGGAGCCTGGGCTGGGAGCCCACCTTATCTTTATATAAGGGGATATCCTTGCTGCACAGTTTGGGAGAGAGAGTCACCTGGTCATCTGGGTTTAGAGCCATCTACCCTAACCTGAAGCTGGAAGGTGGAGGAGGTTTGCGGGAAAGGGTGTCTGAGTCTCCGTGCAAAATGACATGTAAATGTATGCAAGGCCATGCCAGCCCGAATTAGTTGTCCTTGAATCGCACCTGGAGCCAGAGGAGAGTGACTTGTAGTCTGGGCTAGGAGGCAGCCCACCAGAGCGGCAGGCAGGCGGAGTCATCCTGTTTCTAGTCAGTTAACTGCAAAGCCCTGAAAGCAAGTGAGTTCTAAGAGAAAGGGGGAACCTGGCAGGTTGGGACTTTGGGTACACAGCAGAAGAGAGGGCCCTCCTACTCAGTTCTTTCAATGGGGACAACTCTCCTACATCTGTCCCAAAGTGCTCCACTCTCCTCTGACCCTGGCCCATCCCATGTGGCTCCTCATTGGCAGAATGAGACAAGCCCAAGGAAGGGGAGACAGCTTGTAGCCACCCCTCCTCACCGCTGAAAAATGCGGGCACAGGCAGGCAGGGGTGAGGGTGGGCAGTGGCGCTCAAGGCCTGGGGGGCCACAGTGTGTAAAGCTGTGTGTAAATAGGGCCTCACTAGGCTGGGAGAGAACACTGAGCATCCTAAGGGGCTCTGGGAGGCACAGATGGAGAAGAAGGCATTTCTACACAATGCCAAATGGGTCTGCGAAAGCCAGGGTTGGCAGAGCTCCAGAGGGTGGCAGGGGCTCAGTGCAGGCGGAGCTAGGGTATGGTACCTGGGAACACAGTGGGGCAGGGGAGAGGTCAGCAAGGAAGGGGAACATAGTGGAGGTGAGGGACAGGGGCTAGAGGGGAGTAGAAGGGAAGCACCTGAAAAAGCAGATGCTCTGGGCATGGGGTGAAGGAGTGGGTGAGGGAGCAGGTGGGTGGGGAGGTGTCCAGTGTAGTCTGGCTGGGGCTCAGGCCTTCCGGGTGGACCTCAGGTGGGGTGGGGCAGCACATGGCGTTCCAGATGGTGATGTGGATATTGGTGCAGAGCACGTTGGCGCTGACCTGTGTCCAGATCGAGGTCCACCTGAGTGAGGAGCAGCCCGGAGCCTCTCCGTCGCTCAGCAGCATGTGGAGCTCCTGAACTTGCAAACCAGGCCAGTGCCACCCTGCCATGGCCAGGCCCGTGCAGGCCTTAGTTAGCCCTGTTGCCTCCTGGCTTGGGCAGGGTGCAGAGAAGGCCCAGGCACTGCTTAGGTTACTGAATTGACAGGCAAGTCAGGGGAGGACAGTGGGGGCTTTTCATGCAGGTGGGTCCAGCAGGCAGGAAGTCCAGGGTACAACAATTGAGCCCCATGGGCTGGAAGAGCTGGGAAGAAGCCTCTCAGTTGGGGCGGAAACACATATGCAACCCCCCAGAAGTGCGGGTGAAGAGCCTGGTGGAGAGCTCGATAGGATGAGGCTGTAGGGAGGGTGTTCCTGGGAGTGCTCCAGGCCCCAGCTGCGACAGTCAGACCATCCCTTTCACCCAGGTTATAGGATGGATCCGTTGGGCAGAGACCTGGGTTGAATCCGGATTCATCAATATGGACAAGTCTTTTTTAAAAAAAAAAAAAACCCTCATATTTCCCCTTGTGAAATACAGGAGCAGGACAAGGAAAGACCCTTTCTGGCTCTTTCTGCTAGGTTTTCAGATGGAAGACCAGGCAGGCAGGTGACTGCCAGGGCAAACAAGGCACTGGGTGGCAGCCAATGCGTGGCCTGCAGAAACCCCGCCATCAGTGTGGGCCTCCTTCCCTCGGCTCAGCAGGTCCCTGAGTGCAGGCAACCGCTCTGCGCCTAGCGCTCTCGCCTGGCCCTCCAAGTGCAGGCAGGGTGGGCCCGCGCCCTGCCCTGTCCGCCGGTCTTCTCCCCTAGCCTTCGCCTTCTCCCGGTCCCCTGCAGTAGCCAGAAAACCTGGGACACGGTCTGCCCCCAGGTGGCGCTGCGCTCCTGCGTCAGGATCTAATGAGGAAGGATGACGTCATCCCGGGTCCGCGCCGTGTCTGCCAGGAGCAAGGAGGACAGGGATGGTGGCACTATTCCTAGATGCTCTGGGACGGTAGGGAGTGGCTTCTTTCCTCTGGTAAACTGCGTTTTAAGTTTGGTAGAAAGGACTTCCTAAGGTGACGTTCTGTTGGAGCCTTAAGATGTGGGGATTGGTCGTCTTGGTTGGGTGCTCCCCCCAGGCACCACGGCCTGTCTCGTTTCAGTGTGTGTGTGTGGGGGGGGAGGGGGGTGGCAGGGAAGGAGGTGACCTCTCATCCGAAGCAGCTCTAGGGGCTGAAGACCAGAGCTCGGCCTTTTATTCGCTGTGTGATCATGGGCATGTAGGTTAACCTCTCTGGACTGAATTTGGTCTGCACAGTGGAAAGAACATGGTGTCGGCCCACAGAGTTAGATGAAGGGTCAGCTGAAGAGACCTAGCGGTCCACAGGCACAGCGCAGATGGACGGTTCACCCGGTCCAGCCGCAGCAACGCCCATGGAGGTCCGGAGCCAGAGCTGTCCTTCCGGGCCCAGCCCTCCGGAGGGTCACCGGGGTTGACAGGCAGGTGGAGGAGGAAGTAGGGCAGAGTGCACCTGGGACCTGAACTCTCTGCCCTCTCTTTTCTGCCACATCTAGCACAGAGATGCTGCCTCCTGTCTGGGGAGACCTCTCCACCAGCCAGGATGGGGATGCTGCTGAGGCAAAACCTGGGGGCAAAAACCTACAAGAGACACAGACCCACGGTGGCTGTCCACAGTGCGCATAGGTCAGAAGGATGCCCCCGGGGGCGAGCTGAGCTATGCGGTGGGCACTGTCAGGTCAGGAGGGCAGCCTGCAGCCCG